AGGAAGATAAAATGTGTCTGGTATCTTAACAATTATCTGCATCTTCCCTCCCTCTCCTCCTCTTACTCACTTCTAGAGGCTAAAGGAAACAGCATACACTCTGTTAAAACAATTTTATTGGTATCAACTAGAAATGGCCTTAAACTAGCACTGCTATATAATTATCATGACAAACTACCCCATACTAACGCAGTAATTTTGTTAAACATCCTCTAACACTTATTACTTAATAGTAAATAGTTCTACCCTCAATGATTTGACTGAAACTAGTGGGCTAGTTTATCTTGGTTTAGTTTATCCTGGCTTATTCAACTGGAAGTTAAACTGTTTATATATACAGAAAAGGGTGTCTGTTTTACTCATCCCTGTATATTCTAGAACATGTAGAGTACGCGTCCAGTAGTTTAGAAGTACAGTAAATCTATGTTGAATTAATAAAATGATCTATGGATTTATTTTGAAATTTTTTTTACTGCTGAGATAGGTACATGCAAACACCACTTTAAGAATGTCCACAGCCGGGGCGCCTGGGTGGCTCAGTCGTTAAGCGTCTGCCTTCGGCTCAGGTCATGATCCCAGGGTCCTGGGATCGAGCCCCACATCGGGCTCCCTGCTCAGCGGGAAGCCTGCTTCTCCCTCTCCCACTCCCCCTGCTTGTGTTCCCTCTCTCGCTATGTCTCTATCAAATAAATAAATAAAATCTTTAAAAAAAAAAAAAAGAATGTCCACAGCCATGGAGGTAAGAGTTTAAATCATCCATTTGTACTTATGAGGGAATACTGTGAACTGTATTCTGAGAAAACGCATGCTCTACTCTTAGGCAGTCCTCTGACTTTTCCAGAGCAGTCTAATGTCTTTTCATAAAATGCCACCAAATCCTGCTCAGCTATTTATTATATGGCTCTGTTCTTAATCAGCAATATAAAATGTTATCTGTTCTCCAGTTACTCGACAAAGAGTAAGACCTTAAATTCTCCAAACTAAGTTGTTCATCAAAAGCTTAGCTGCTAGCAATAATCTTCATGGGGAACTGCATGAATATACAGATCCTCTCCATTCTACCACCACACCTAGATTAAGCCAGAATATCAGAGAAAAGCCCCTGGAAGGAAAGTTTTAACAACAATAAGGAATTATCATATGTTACATTGAAGGAGGCCTTTAAATTACAGCCCTATATAACTTATTTTCTATTTATCACAGGAAAGATGACGTTTAACTGCATAGTTTCTTCTTTTGAGGATGCTATGAGCAAAATCAATTCAGTATTATTTCTTTTAGTGTCAGGAATAGCTGTGGTTTTCATTAGAAACTATTTTGTTTACAATATCATAGACTAAGTTAGCAACATAATGGATACTTTCTTCTTTGAACTAGCTACTTGGAAGCTATGAAACATAGTTGATAGGGTATTACAATATATTTGGCTACTAACTGAAATCTTTATATGCTGGGTATCTTCTGCCTCTCCAGATCTTCTCTCCTCCATTTTTGACCATGCTTTGTGTACTGAGAGACTAACCTGCATCAGTAGGCTCACCTGCTTCCCAGTTGGGTTCAGCCCAGCAGGCAATTGGGACGGTAAAACAAGAGGAGAGTTAGGATATTTATTTCCCAGACTCCTTCCTAGCCAAACTGCCTCAGCTGGCTGCATTCCTCCTAACTGCTCTCTCTGTACAGCTTACTTTCTCCAAGTTCTGGTATCTACTTCCTCCCCTCCCCTGCTTTGCAGACCCAGAGTACATCACTCACTACTTGTGATTTCCAGCTGCTCACATTGTGCACCCAACACCTTATTCTTTGAAAATAGTCCCTGGACTAAATTTTCCTCAAAATACCTAATCTGAGCATACTACCTGTCTCCTCCCAAGACCTTGACTATATTGGCTTCATATCTTCTATTTCCTGCCATTAAAAAACAAAAAGAGGAAAAAAAAAAAAACTTTTTTTCCTTCCTTCACCAATTTCTGTACTAATAATTCATACACAAACCCAATTTTTCTGTTACAATTAGAATTTTGCACAGGATATAAAAAGGAGTAAGACCAAGAAGCCCATTCTAGATTTTAAAAAGACAGTAAACAAATAAATATAATAAAGTGTCAGAGGGCCTAGTTGGAAAATAAAGAACAGTTGTACCAAAGGGAAGAAATTCCAGAGGTCAGAGAAGATTTTACAGAGTGACTAACACTTGGTCTAAATTCTCAAAGAGAAGAAAAAGTCCAGTGAGTGCTTTGCCTTTATTAATCTATTTATTGGCTCCCAACCCAATGAGGTACAAATAGTATTATTACCATCCCCCTTTTTAAAACAGATGAGAAAACTGAGGTGCAGTTTCTTGCCAAAATCATACAATTAGTGAGTGAAAGAGCCTGGGTCCCAGGCAGTCTGATGCCAAGAGTTCATTTTTTTAAAATCGCTAACTTATACTGCTTATCAAGGATGGCAAGGAAATGGTACAAATAATTAAACATAGCTAAGACATATGATGCAATGATGGTTAGCCAAGAAAGAGAAAGGCTAAAAAAGGCAAGGCAAGTGCCAGGTCAGAAAGGGCTTTAGAATAAAGAATTCTGTCTGATAAAACAGTTGTTGGATTTTAGATCATGGAACCTCTTGAGAATCTCAACATTCTTTCTCCAGAAAAACACACATACACAAAACATCTGGCAGTTTAGGGTAGTTCACAGTCCTTACTGGCCCATTCAATTCAGGACGAGAAACACTGCTAGGGGTCATGTTAAGTCATGGACAAGGTACAAGGAGGAAGGTATAAGGAAAGGGAGAAAGAGTTCAGAATTGCACTTGTGAAATATCACTTTGGCAATAGTATGTAGAACAGGTTAGAGGAGGACCACCAACAAAAAGACTACTGTAATAGTTCAAGTGAGAGATGATGAATGCTCAAGCTAGGGAAGTGATAATAGTGTTAGAAGAAAAGCACAGATGAGGAATACTGCTATCAGGAATCAATTTGGATCTGAGAAGTAAGGGAGAAGGCAGCAAGACTTCTGAGAAGAAACTCTGGTCCTTTAACAAGCATTGATTACATAAATCATACATACCAGGAACTTTGCTAAGAACTGGAGATACAATGTTAAACAAGACAAACACTACCTCACACTTAAGAATAATCTATTGGGTTAATAACAAACTGAATTTCAATATACCAGAAGTACAATAATAGGGGCGCCTGGGTGGCTCAGTCGTTAAGCGTCTGCTTTCGGCTCAGGTCACGATCCCAGGGTCCTGGGATTGAGCCCCGCATCGGACTCGCTGCTCAGTGGGAAGCCTGCTTCTCCCTCTCCCACTCCCCCTGCTTGTGTTCCCTCTCTCTCTGTGTCTGTCAAATAAATAAAATCTTTAAAAAAAAAAATTTACTAATTTTCATGTACCAAGGTTTTTTTTTTAAAAAAGTACAATAATAAAGGAAGCACTGGGATGAAGGAATCTAAGGTGTTTTTTTTAAATTACAAAACAGGAGTGACCCATTTCATCCAATGACACTAACCAAGAAAAATGAGAATTGCAGACTAGGCAATCAGAAAATTACTAAAGACTAGAACAGTTTTATATGAGGAATAGAGAAGCATACTGTATGAGTGCTTAAGAGTGGTTAATTACTGAAAATTAGCAACACATGAAATGAAATGCTACTCAAATGAAATCTTAAGAGACTGCTTAACACAGTCTCCTAGGAGCCTTTCTACACTATTGCCAATCCTGCCTTTCCTTACACAACTATGTGTGTACTTGCTATTACTGAGTGTTTAAAAACTAAGCACTTCGTCATCTAGGGATACATGCATAGGTGATAAAATTACAAAGAAAAGCAAGGGAATGAATAACCTAAAAAGAGGAGAATGGTTACTTCTGGGAGTATGTGGTTCAAAAGGATATGGGCTCACAAGAAGATTCTAAGACCCTAAAGAATGTTCTATTTCTTAATCTGGGTTATAGTGGGTAACTGGATATTTGTTTTATCTCTATTTTAAAAATCATACATGTACACTTTGGTCATTACTCTGTGTAAAGTACACTTCATAAAAATATTTAATATATATACATCAGAGACAATAAGATAAAGCAAACCAAAATCTAGTTTAAAAAAGGGGGGGACGGGCGCCTGGGTGGCTCAGTTGGTTAAGCGACTGCTTTCGGCTCAGGTCATGATCCTGGAGTCCCTGGATCGAGTCCCGCATCGGGCTCCCTGCTCGGCAGGGAGCCTGCTTCTCCCTCTGACCCTCCCCCCTCTCATGTGCTCTCTCTCATTCTCTCTGTCTCAAATAAATAAATAAAATCTTTTAAAAAAATAAATAAATAAAAAAGGGGGGGACTAAAATAGAACTAAGAATTTAATATACTACATCTCACTTTTACATGACATTTTATTATGAGAATTAAAATTTCGAACAACTCTATTTCTCAGATAGCAAAACAAAAAAAGATTTTAGTTGAAAGGGATTTTTAGTTTCCAAGTAATTTCACTTGCAAAAGAAAACAGCCTTCAACTCTGTTTTTTATTCAAAGAAATGTAGATTTTTTTTTTTAGAATTATTTTTAAATAACATAAACTTAAGTATATCATAAAGATGCTCTCCCAGATGAAATCTTACAGGAGTTAAACAAGCTTGAAGACAAATGTTATAGATCTGTTACTTGGCAAAATACTTTAAACACACATACATACCCCAAAACAAAAAACACCTTATCATATAGTTCCCCAAACAATTCCATTTCAAATATAAAAATTCTCTTTTTAAGAATAAATATTGCTGGGGCGCCTGGGTGGCTCAGTCGTTAAGCATCTGCCTTCTGCTCAGGTCATGATCCCAGGGTCCTGGGACCGAGCCCCGCATCGGGTTCCCTGCTCCGCGGGAAGCCTGCTTCTCCCTCTTCCACTCCCTCTGCTTGTGTTCCCTTTCTCGCTGTGTCTCTCTCTGTCAAATAAATAAATAAAATCTTAAAAAAAAAAAAAAAAAAGAATAAATATGGCTTACCTGTTCCCTACTGAATCTTGAGAGATCTGAAAGTTTGGAATGATAGAGGAAACACCATATTCATCTTGATACTTCTTACAAGATTTGTAATGATGTCTCATGCGATAGAATTTAATCTGTAAATTATTGATCAAAATGTAATGTGACTTTCAATTTCAAATAGAAGTTATAAGATCTGAGGTACTGTCAATAGGAGAAAAGCAAGATAAATATAACCAACTAAATATTCCATTTAAACAAGATTTTTTTTTAAGTAAATGATTTCTTAAGTAGAAGCTGAAAATAATAAGTTTCTGTCCGTTAGATGCAGATGTGAACTCACTGCAAAAAATACTAACAAATAATTTTACACTTGAAACTATGTTACTAAAAACAGACCAAAAAAAGTAAATCAAAAGCAGTAATAAGTTTGCCTTAGGGTATTGGGCATTTCTTTATTCTTTATTGCAACCTGGCAGAGTTAGAAAGTGCTTTAAAAAAAATTAGGTTCCCAGGTTAACACCTGGAACATTTTTCAGTTTCTCACTGAGTAGAGCCTGAATCTCTCAAGTGTATTTTCCAGCTTCACTTCATTGCCCTGTCAGTTAACAACTCCCTCAAAGAGATGGAAAAGCAGATCTGACTTGTGTGAATGCATGAAATAGCAACTGGTTTTGCTCACTGACTTTATTAGCTGTTGAAAAAGTGGCTGCAATAAATCCATGAACACATGGATATACTCAAAGCCTAACCACCCCTCACTATTTCACTCCCTCTTCAAATGAATAGAAATAAAATCCAGACTGGAGAATTAATGCCAGTTATTTGCCAACACCTGATTTTCTCACCTGTTCCTTAAAACTTAGTTTTCTGCAAAATATTCTGTGATTTCTTAAACACATAAATACACAAGTAAAGTGGGCAGCTAGAGAGTTCCTTGACCATAAATCCATTTGGCCCATTTTTATGTTCAAAATTGCAGTAAGGATGCTGCTACTATCACAATTTGTACCAGAATGGGGTTTAAATGAGTTAAATGCCAGTTTATTCATTTAGTTCATTTAGTAGGTAATCAATGAGCAATTATTTTAAGAAAAATGCCATGCTAAAAATTATGACAAATTCACAGATTGTATCTTTCAGTCTCTGTTCTCAATAAGATTATGATCTATTAAGATCTATAATCAGATTTTTTGGCCTTTCTACCCAATTTAAGTAACTTCTTTCACTTCAAACCAGCACCTACCAAGAAAACTCAAACAGGAATTTGATTTTCAAAGTAGAGTAGAACCTTCATTTTCAAAGACGAGCTATGTCACATTTACTCTACCTGTTTTGCACAGCATCTGCAGCTACCAGAAAACTTCCTCATGATATTTTCAAGGTCTAAGGCCCGTTCAGGACATGCTCTCTCTCTTCTAGTCACATTTCCACGACAGAGGGGACAATGTATTCCGCTTTCTCTCATTGCAGTCAGGAAACATTTTCTACAGAAACTAAACCAAACATTTGTGACATGTTAACTACAGAAAAAAGATTCTTTTCATTTCCATGATTAAACACACTCAAGTGGTTATAGATTTATATTTAGGCTAAATGAGGTAAGCTATTCATATGTACATAACTTGCAGAATTTTAAAAACTATACATGTATTTCTCCAAGTCTAAGGCTAATAATTAGACTAAATGGGAATATAAAGAAACTACACTCAATTATGCTTTAAACTTTTTAACATAATATATGAAAAATAAGTATTAACACTACATAACATTATCAGAGGAAGCGTGGTACAGAGGAATGACTGGCTTATCCTGTGTCATTTAGTAGTGTGATCTTAGGCAACACATCGAGCGACACTGGATCTCCATTTCCTCCCCTTATAAAAATGAAAGAATAGACCACATCAGCTTTTGTCTCAAACTGATGTACTTTGAGATATTCCACAAGCTATGAATAGGTCCACCACCTATTTCCACAAAATTGTGCACAAACTGATTTGGGAAGTTCTAGGATAAACAAAGTTTCTCTGCTAAGAAAAACGTTAAGTATTACCCAAACTTATGTTGTGCGGAAATATGAAAATTTCCCACAACAGTGTGCAACGGAACAGAATTTGAGAAATATTTAAGGACCCTTCCAGCTTATCTCTAAACATTCTAATTAGAACCAAACTCACTAAAATCTATTTTTTCTCTCCTAACGCAAGCAATCAAATACCAACTTGATCATTTTTCTTTAAAAAAAAAAAAAAAACTAGATAAATCATAGCCATCTGCATCTGGGGTCCAGAGTACATATAAGTTTAATCCAATCCCCTATAAATGCAAATATTCAATCTTCTTCCTCTAAAAGTTGAGAGCAAATAGTGTAATAACAGATCCCAGAAAATGAGTTTCCTAACTAGCACTGAACAAGACACTTTTCCCCTCTACAATCAGTTTCCTCATCCATAAAGTACCTACAGTTCCAACAACTGTTCAAAGGATTAAAATGGGTAATACAGTAAAATGCTTATCACAGTATTTTTGACAGTTACAAAGTGCACCATAAATAGTAGCTAATTTCACTAACATACATTTGATATGATTACCAATTAAGACCACAAATTAAAATATTAAAAATATTCATCCTAGTAAAAAAAAAAAAATTCATCAAGAAAATGCAAACTAAACATGGCTGAGATACCATCTTTCAGCTAGCTGTCAAACTAAAAACTAGCCTTAAAAATAATAACCAGTATTAGAAAAGATATAAAGAAATGAGTACTCTACATTTCTGGGTAACAATTCGTCAGTATTATCAAATCCTTACAGAGAGGGCATCCCAAAAGTCTGAGTGCCACTTAGAGCTTTAATAATCTCAGAAAGTATAAAAACACAAAGTTACAAAACCATCATTTTTAAGTTCAATTGTTAAAAACTGAAATTTAATTGTCTATATATTTTGTAAATTTTGAATAATAAATTTTTAACTTAAATTCTTTGTTTTAGTCAGTGTTTGCATTCTGTAATCAAAGGGACTGTAAAAGAGAAAAAAAAGAAGATGAGTCAGGAAAAAAAAAAAAAGCAAGACCAACTGGGGCAATAGTCTAGACCATGAAAGGGTCTGCACTAGGGCAGGGGTAGGAGAAACAGAGGATCTCTATTTCAGAGACACAGTTCTCAGTTCCTGACTGTGTATATAGGGAGCTTCTCATGTTAACAAAATCAACAGAATGTTATGACAATTACTTGTGGGAGGTAAGAAAGATAAGAATTTCTAACCTAGAACACGGAGTAAAAGGCGACTGGATTAACAAGTTAAGAAATATTGGAAGAGTTGGTTTGACAGAGGAAAGATGGGTGCAAATTCAAAGTACCTACAAAAATCTCAATGCATGATATCCAGTAAACAACCGGAAATACAGATCTGGAAATTAGGGAGAAAAATATGGAGAGCAGTTGAAGTGCAAAGAGCACTAAAGAAACAATCTAGAGAAGTATAAACATTTAAAGGAGTGTTGATAGGAAGAGCCAAAGAAAAAGACTAAGTAACATTAGAGAAGCCAAGTCTAATAAGCTATCAAAGAGAAATAATAAAAAGATGAAGGTAAAACTGTCACCAAATTATTAAGCTAAACTTTTGTCTTTAAATAAGGAATCAAAAACTGTCAACAAAAGTTCATACCAGCAAAATTCATTACAAAGACATAATCATGCATAAAAATGATACTTGAAAGAAATGAAGTAGAACACTATTAGAAGGCAAATCAGTCAATATGCTGGCTAAATTAATAATTAATTATAAATAAAACAAACATAGAATATTAAAAGATCTTTTTTTTTTTTAAAGATTTTATTTATTTATTTGAGAGAGAGCACATGAGAGGGGGGAGGGTCAGAGGGAGAAGCAGACTCCCTGCCAAGCAGGGAGCCCGATGCAGGACTCGATCCCGGGACTCCAGGATCATGACCTGAGCCGAAGGCAGTCCCTCAACCAACTGAGCCACCCAGGCGCCCCAGAATATTAAAAGATCTTGAACAACCAAGATGCACAAATGAACACTGTATTTACAGGAAGGGGATAAAATAAAGCAAAATTTCAAAGCCCACTCATTGATTTAATAACTAAAATAGTAAAAATGTGGTAACACCACATACCAACCAGAATGACTAAAATGAAAAAGGTGGAAAATACAAAGTGTTGAGGAGGATGTGAGCCAACCTAAACTCCCATTTGATCTATTAGAATGCAAACTGATACAACCATTTGGAAAACTGACAGTATCCACTATAACCCAGTAATTCCATTCTAAAGTTTATACTCAATAGAACTGCATATATGATCAGAAGAAATTTCTAAAAAGTTCACAGCCACACTATGGTAATAGCCAAAAGCTGAAAATTATACAATGTCCATCAACAGAAGAATGAATAAATTGTAGCATATTCATAAAATGAAAACTATAAAATACTATAGTGAGAATAAATATGGATGAATATAATGTTGAGCTAAAGAAGCCAGATTTAAAAGAGCACAACTATATGATTCTCTTTTTATAAAGTACAAAACATGCTTAAATGTTGAATGAATTTTTACTAAAAAGTAGAAACAGATACAGTAATTTCTATTTACCACTTTCAAAAATATTGGCAATGGCTATAAAAACAAGACGTAAAGGCATAAAATATAGAAAAGCAAGAAATAAAAATCACTTTAGAAGACAAAACTGTTTTGTTAGAAAATACTCAATTAGCCCCCAAAATTACAACACATAACAACTGTACAATACAAACTCTCCAAATAATAATTACATTACTAAAGACTATTTATAGCGTCAAAAAATGAAAAATATTCATATAAAAAACTAAGAAAAGTAATCAGGTTTAAAATTAGCTTTGGACTTTGTATTCAAAATGTAGACAATAAATGAAGAAACAAAAATTTCTAGTGGAAATACACGTAATAAATAAAGGCAAAACAGGACTTTATTAAATAGATACTGAAATGTCTTAAAGACTGGCAAAAATATATCTTAAAAAGCAAAAATGATTGGGGTGCCTGCTGGAGCAATCGGTAGAGCACATGACTCGAACTCGGGTTATGAGTTCAAGCCTCATGTATGGCACAGAATTTACTTAAAATTTAAAAGAAAAATTTAAAGCAAAAACAATTAACAAATGTGCAAAAAGTGATTTAAAAGAAGAAAAGACAGACTTCAATAAATGATGCTAGAGCAACTGGACGTCCAGAGGCACAAAAATGAACCTCAATCTAAGTCGGCCACCTTATACAAAAATTAACTTGAAACAGGTCAGACTGTAGTAAACTGGGAAATTGCCATACAAAGATATATTCACTTTCTAATGCCCAGAACAAGTGAATATTACCTTATATTGCAACAGCTCTGATTAAAGTTAAGGATTTCAGGGTGGGGAAACTAGCTGGGATTATCCAGATGGGTCCTAAATGCCATCACAAGTGTCTTTGTAAGAGAGGCAAAGGGAGATTTGACACAGACATACGGGAGAAGGCTATGTTCAGATAAAAGGAGAGATTAGAATGGTGTGGCCTCCAGAACCTCAGGACACCTTTGCCACACCTTGACTTGGGCTCAATGAAATTAGTTTCAGACTTCTACCCTCCAGAACTATGAGAAAATAAATTTCTGGGGACGCCTGGGTGGCTCAGTCGGTTAAGCTTCTGCCTTCGGCTTAGGTCATGATCCCAGGGACCTGCGATCAAGTCCCACATCAAGGCTCCACACTCAGCAGGGAGCCTGCTTCTCCCTCTGCCTGCCAATCCCCCTGCTTGTACTCTCCCTCTCTGGCAAATAAATAGATAAATAAAAAGTTAAAAAAAAAAAAAAGAAAAGAAATATCTGTTATTAGAAGCCACCAAGGAAGTGGTAATTTGTTACACAGTCCTAGGAAACTAACACACAGAGTTAAATGTAAAACATTAAACTACAAAACTTTTAGGAAAAAAATAGAAAATATTCACAAACCAGAGCCACACAGAGTTAGCTTTAATGTTAGAAGCACATCCTAAATAGAAAAAATTGATAAAGTGGACTTCATAAAAATTAAGAACATTTGCTAAGCAAAAGACTCTACTAAAAAGATAAAAAGACAGACTATAGACTGGAAGGAAACATTTGTAAATCACTTATCTAACAAAAGTATAGTATCTAGAATACATAAAGAAGTCTCAAAGCTCAACAGTGAAAAAGCAAACAACCTAGGGGTGCCTGAGTGGTTCAGGTGGTTGAGCTTCCCACTCTTGATTTTGGCTCAGGTTGTGATCTCCAGGTCCTGAGATCAACCCCCATGCGATGGGTTCCATGCTCAGCAGTGAGTCTGCTAGAGAGTCTCTCTCTCCCTCTCCTTTTGCCCCTCCCCCCACTCACTCTCACTCATTCTCTCAAATAAATAAATACTTTTTTTTTTTTTTTAAAGCAATCTATGGGATGCCTGGGTGGCTCAGTTGGTTAAGCATCTGCCTTCGGCTTGGGTC